AAGGAAGGAAGGAAGGAAGGAAGGAAGGAAGGAAGGAAGGAAGGAAGAATTAAACCAGGAATTTGGGAGATAAAAATGTCTAGACAGAGATACCCTAAGGGTTCCTTCAACAATACTGGAGTGTTAATCAGCCTTTGCCTTAATTGAAAAAACTCACTTAATGGGCTTATGTTTAATTATGTTTCCTGACAAATATTTTGTGTCTTTTCAAATATTCTTCAAACATGACAAATAAATCCTATCAATCCAGATTGTAATGAATATCTAAAGGACTGAAATGTAACAAACATTTGCAGAGCAACTCTATTGCTCGGCCAAAGCAGCCCAAACTGGAGAGCTCCAGCAAAGACTAACACTATCCTAGCTATTTAATTGTTGTACGTATGTGATGTGCATCTGTTTTCACAAGATTCAAAAATCTAAATTATTTACTTTTCTTATTGCCTATCCCTTCTGTTCTGTTGGAATGAGAATGTAAAAGGATACCTTAGGCAGTGATCATTTTCCTAGCTCCATTTCATTGGCTGCCTGTCTGACACTTCCAATTTTGTTTAGTCCAGCCTTTTTCATGGAGACCATTGCTCTTCTCTTAAATTATGGTCTCCTCCTCCTCCTCCTCCTTCTCCTCCTCCTCCTCCTCCTCCTCCTCCTCCTGCTGTAAGGCATTACTCTATACTCATATGAAGTAGAAATTCATGAGTGGAAGAAGACTGCTATAACAAATATCAATTCATTCCTAGCTACATTTATTTCTCCATTGTTTTATGATGTTGTGTGACAAACAATATGAATTCTCATTCTGATATCCTATTATTGATACAGTGTGGAAAAATTCCAGCAAGCCTAAGGAAAAAGCAGCGGATAATTCCAAATAATCCAAACTTACTTATCATTATAACATTTGTATACTATTTGTATTCTATCTGAATACTCAGAATCTTCCATGGTTGAGATTCTAGGAAATACAGTATAATGAATCTGTTGAAGCATGTTTAACTGTCATAAGCTTTCTGCTTTAGGAGCCTTAACAATACACTTAGCACTGAGGTAAAAATTAACGAGCTGTGACTCCATTATTAAATCTTGTTATTGTTATTTTAAGGGTTTTTAATGCTGTTTTTTGGCATCTGATTCTAAGGGGCTTAAATGTCATATTGTATAAATATATAACAAAGCATTCAAACAAATTTCTTTGATAGTGTCTTGAGAATTGTCCAATATGGAAAGGCCTGTTTATTTGCAATCCTGAATTAATCCAATACTGATTTCTTTAATCATTTAAAACACATTTTCACAATCTTGGCAACTTTCATGCTGGCTGGGGAATTCTGGGAGTTGAAGCCTGACCACCTGAAAGTTTAAAAGGGTTTTGGATGTGTTGTCTCCAGGCAGAGGTGGTATGCAGCAGGTTCTGAACCAGTTCTGGAGAACAGGTAACAGAAATTTTGAGTAGTTTGGAGAACCGACAAATACTACTTCTGACTGGAGATTTTATAGTATCCTTCCCCCGCCACACCCACCAAGCCATGCCCACAGAACCAGTAGTAAAAAAAAAAATGAATCCCATCACTTTCTCCAGGGCTTTGT